GGGAGGAGAGGAGCCTGTCTGCCATTACTGTGGCCCTTCCCCTCTTCGAGGAGGCCGCCCTTTTCTCCATCCGCACCGGCGAGGTCGCCACTTCGTCCTCCCATATTCCCCTCGCTGAGGCCGCCGCCTCCGCCCTTGTTCCCCTTGCTGAGGCTGCCCTCGCCGGCGCCTAGCACCTAGCACCTAGCACCATGTTGCTCTCGAAAGCGTAGGAAGGGGCGGAGAAGGGTGGAGACTTCAGAACACACGGCGGGCTTCGGCTAATTCGAAGTTTGGGCTGGGCGAGGGAAAACGGCGGACCGGGTTTAGTTTTCGCCTTCGGCTGAAAAAAATGTTTTCTCACTGGGGAGAATTAGGGGACTGCTAGAGCACCGAAATCCCTCAATAAACCATTTTTTCTCATCAAGGGTGAGGAAAGGGGGGACTGATGGTGATGCTCTAATTAGACCCTGGTGTTCTGTCCGCTCCACATGAAAAAAATCGTGCAACGTTGCCAAACGTAGTCACTCCATCTTGTCCTAGATATGAATCGCTTCGCTGCTTCAATATATTTGCACTAGTAGAGAATCCCCACCCACCCCCACCCCTACCCTGCCCTACTGATTCGCTCTATTTCCCGTTCCACTCCGCTCGCTCCATGCCGTACCTCGTCTATGCCCTTGTCACACTACCCTCTTTGCCCTTTCTCGGTGGCCTCCATTCCGCCTCTCCTTCACACCGTGTTGTGTCTGTTCTCTCGCACCCCTCTATGGCTCTATGCCGTTGAGCTAGAGGCAGAGCCGATAATGAAGTCCCGCTAAATGGTGTTTTTTTTTGGGTGGGGAATGGGAGAGTTGGAGTGGAGGGAATCTAGAGCTCAAGCCATAAACAAGCAAAATTAAAACATATAGAGGTTACAATTTGTCTTAGAGCACATAATAAGAGATAAAAAAAAGTACATGCGTGTACTCATTGAGCTACCTCTACCTTCCAATATATATATTTTGACGTAGCAAATACGTGCCTACTACATCCAAAATGCTGCATGAGAAAATAGTCCGGTATTCTTGGACACTGCGTAGGATCTAGTGGTGCAGCGAACCTTAGTGCACAGCTCTCCGTTATGATCATACCTGAGGCCAAACAACGTGACATGGAGCGTGGCATCAAGACCGTTCCTACTATTCAGGACGTTCTCAACGAGGCAAAACCTGCTGTCACCCATGTAAGTAAGAGTGGTCTTCAAGTGCCGTCCTCCTTTCGGGTACTTGTCATCGTTGCGGAGGAACTTCTGCTTGAGCATCTTGCACTCCGGCGGCTGCCGCGTGGTGGTGGCACTAGCAGCACTACGGGAGGGGACCCGGCAGCAGCAAACGTACATACCCGTCCTCACCTCTATGGAGGCCAACCCATGCATCCAGGTCCCCGTCGAAGTAGGCTTGGCCTGTAAAGGGCAACGACCAACACCCGAGCTCCTTCCACACTCCGTCCCTCGTGTCAAGGGACCATGTAAACCCGGTTGTGGACGAAGATGGTGCGCCCGTCCGGGTGCAACGCGTAGGAGGTGACCAGATCATGCCCCATGGACGCAGCGCCGGTCCTGAGTTTTTCTAGGCCTAGATCGAGAACTAATATAGAGGCCTATAGTCCACTTTCTAATAATATTTATATATATTTCTCTCTCTATACATATAGTCTCACAAATACACATCAACTTATATAGAATATCTCAAAGTTGATAAAATGGACAGATGTAATATTAAATTACTTACTTGGCACTTTGACATTATCTTAAACAATTTCTTCTAACATTTCGAGATGCAAAATTATTGATTATATTATTGATATCGATCTCATCCAATAACTTCTTTTCGATGCATAAAGTCGCCAAATCATTTAACCTTTTTTACTTTGAAAAGCTTCTTTCAGCTGATGCGACAGTCACAGGAACGATAAATAAGATCCGATAAGCAATGAAAATATTTGGATAATAATCCACCTCTCTGACATGCTCGAAAATCTCCATAGCAGTACCTTCTGGCAAAGTGAATTTCAAAATCTTCAATTCAGAAATAAGATCATGTACCTCAACATCAGATGATCCATCAACTGAATTTTTTTTTGGCAAATTTAGTGCAGCACTCTTCAAGTTCAATATCATCTAATGACTTTAGGGTGCTTGAGCTCATTAAGAAATCAAATATATCTTTAAACTCCATGAGTTCTTTAAATCTATTCTTTAAAGAAGTTCTTGCCATATCAACCACAGCAAGAAAATATTTGACTTCAAAAACCTTCTCAGGTTCTAGAATTTCTTCTTGGCAATTACTTTCGTCAAATTCTTTCTTCCTCGTAGCACGACGTTTTACTGGAAATGATGCCTCTACACCCATGTCAGATGCAATGCCTTTGGCGATAATCAGACTAGAAGAAAACCCCTCATTTCTGTATGTCTCAAAGTATTGCATCATACCTTGTATTTGCTGCACTGTAGAGTCAATGCACATGTCTGGCGACTACAACTTCTTGCTTATTTTATTCATGGCAAATAAAATATCATTCTAGATAACCATACCAAGTATAGACTCAAAGTTGCCAAGGGCATCATATAAATTTTTTGCATCACTTTTATCCTTAGGTTCAATATCAGGAGAATGACGTAACTCAGATAAAGCTGACCTTAACTCGGTAGCTTGATATCTTATTGCTAAAACACTTTTGATTCGACTCTCTCAATGAGTATTGGACAATGATTTCACTATGAAACTAGGAACATGTTTAATCAAGACATTCCTCCTTTTTTTTGTAGAACTAGCAAATAGCACATATATGTGTTGAACAATTCCAAAAAATGAAACAGCTTTACCACATGATTTTGCCATATCACATAGAGTAAGATTGAGACTATGACAAACACATGGCATATATAATGCTCTTGGATTGATATCAATTAACCTTTTTTATCCCTTGGTGTTTTCCTTTCATGTTAGAACCATTGTCATAGCCTTGACCCCTTATATCATTAATATTAAGGCCGAAGGAGTTCATAGCCTCAACCAATACATTAAAAAGCCCAAAACCAGATGTGTCATCCACCTTCAAGAACCCCAAAAAATATTCCTCAATTTTTATTTGGGCATCAGACAAATTAACACATCGAACTAACAAAGTCATTTGTTCTTGATGACTCACATCGGGGGTGCAATCAAGAATAATGGAAAAAATACTTGGCCTCTTTAACAACCTTTATGATAGAGTTTGTGATATCAGCAGCCAAAAGAGAAATCAACTCATTTTGAATTTTATGACTAAAATAATGATAATGAATTTCTTTGTTCCGAATACGTCCGAGGTGGTCTTGCATTACGAAGTCAAATTCTGCTATCATCTCGGCACAAGCTAAGAAATTGCCATTATTATCATTGTAAAGTTGCTCACTACTTCCTCTAAAAGCCAAGTTGCGTTTGCTAAGAAATTTCACAATTACAACTATTCTTAATAAAACTAGCCTCAAACGTTCTTTCTCCTTTGTGATTTGCTGCAGCAATTCTTTGTCAATTGTTTGCTTTTTCCGCAGTCTAGCTCTCAATTAATTCCGACGTTTCATATTACTAATATGCTCGGCACTTTTTTTCATGGTCTTTAAGCTTCAAACTAATATGCCTCCAATCTCTATACTCATCATTTGCTAAGGCACTCGGATTCTTGCTAGTGCTAGACTTGAAGATCTTATCGCAGAAACAAAATACTTTGTCAACATTCTTTGAATAAACTAACTATTTTCTATCGTGTAACTCTCAGTTGCTTAGTTTTCTAAAATAATGGGCATATGAAAAATGTCTTGAGGCAGCATCACGAGGGAATTTGATGTTCTGTTCTCTTATAGGCCCTTTCTCCACTAATATGTTTCGTGCTTTATTATCAAGTTTATCCCAATTTCTTGGATCATAAATATCCAAAGTGTAAACCAGTTGCTCATCAATACTAGTAGATTGTTCATGTGCACCCGATGCATGAACAGTGTTCTCAGGGTTACATTGTTATCATCGACACCGATGTCGACATTTTCTTCCTCGTTCTCATTAGTTGGTTCATCCAGAGCAACTATCGCCATCTCATCAGGATTCAGCTGTACTACTCTTGAAAAAATTATTAATAGATCCTCTCTGTGATTCTATCAATACATCCACACGTCTTTTCCTTTTCCTTTTGTCATTATCAGATTCGAACTTTCTAAATGACATTATATCCCACATCCTGAAATTTAAATAAACACAAAATAGTTAAAAAGTGAAAGCGTATGTAACTTGAAACATACAAATAAATTAATCATCAATATGTGCAGCAACGGTGCTTACCTTTGGATGGATGTGGACTGATCCTTTCTGTCCTCTGCCAACTGCCGTGGTGTGGATCTTGCGTGATGATAGATGAGGGCACGACGGATCAAGGATCACTGATGATTGACAGGATCATGGAATCGTCAGATACTCAGATTGAATAGAAATATAGAATAGTCAGGTAGCCTAAGAAGTATACAGTTGCTCGATTACCTCCTGGGTCCTCATGCGTTGCGTTGCTTTCGGCGGCCACGGTGCCGAGCGTTCGCTCCGTCTTCCGAGCGGAATAGGGCGACACCACACCAGAGTCGAGTCAAATACTGCAGACATGAGACATGCGGTACTGCTGTATGACTATATTTGGGCCATAGAAACCCACGTAGGTATACATACCCGTACTAATGCACTATATGGGGTGAGGCCTATGGCAATCCGAGGCCTAGTGCGGTGGCACACCCCCAGGGCCGGCCCTGCATGGACGGTGGCGGCCGCAGCGGCGGTGCACCATCGTCGTTGTTCCAGGACCATGACATGATTGTTTCTGATGAGCCAAGCCAGGGGCTGGCGGTGGGCGTCCGGGACAGGACGCGCAAGGAGAAGGAACGCTGACGGAGCTCGTCATCGTAGAGATCCGTCAAGACGTAGAGCCTCTCACCGCCGACCACCGTGGGGGCGCCCGAGTCACCAAGGTAGCCATCGGGAAGGCGCGGACCGATCTGTGTCGTAGACGAGGGTAGGGGGCTCCTCCTGATTGCCCTCCCTGAGGTGCGGGCTGGTGGCGACGAAGATACTGGTGCCCATGGCGGTGAAGACCATCGGCGCACGATCTGGCGCCGCAAATCGGAGCGCAGGTTCGGGGAGTTCGTCATCCTCCATGTTGTCGGCGTCGAGCTTGTGGATGCTGAATCCTAGGTACCCACCCTGCTTGCGCTCATCCAGCGCCAGATACAGGTGCTTCTTCCTCTTGGCGCCGCAGTACAGGCATTGCTCCTCGCTCCGACGTGGACGCTTAGATGCCGACCCCGTCATTGCTATGCTATATGCTACTCGATCGCCGGCTCCCGCGACGACACCTCCAAGGATTTGGGGACGGGTCTCTTCTTGTCTTGTCCTCTCTTCTTTTCTCTGGGGCTGCAGCTGCAGGCAGGGAGCCGGTTAATTTATAGAGGGGGGCAGCCATAGACCGACCACAGATTCCGACTCGTATTCTATCTCTGTGTCTGGACGACTTGCGAATTGCAATGCAAAAGCAATACTACTTACTGCAAAATAGATCGATCGATACGTGTTACCTGTTGCCTGTTGGCAAGGCGAGGCTGTGGAATTGGAGACGCAGTCAGGCCCGGCTGCGATTCGATTCGGTTTCCAAGTTCTTGAATCAAGTAACCAACAACACACCCACCAGATGACCAGACCAACTGATGCGGCCGGCGATCCCAACAACTCGGCGGCGTGCTGTGCCTAGAGCGTAGGTGACCGTCCTAGAACACAGCCAAGACCGGGGGGGGGCATCCCCGTCCCCTGGCGGCGGAGTTGAGCAGGGACGAAAGGAAAGGAGATGATGTTCATTATGGGCCCCCTGTTTGGGGGCATATGAGGCCGCGTGAGGGGTTTACGATTTACGGTGACTTCTGAACGACTGAACCATTCCTACTACGTCCCAACGATTCGATTCGATGGTACCCCCATCATCCTCTCCTTGGCATACCCGTGCCGCCGTGTGATCCAGAGTGTTTTCATGATCCGTCGCTCTCTCTCCCGTGCTAGTACGAATTAGCTCTCTCCCATGCTAGCATGAGTTATTATCATTGATAAATCTTAAGTCTCGGTACCTGATGGTTGCATAACGTTCAATCGCGACCAAGCCTTCGTTCGGCGTGCGGTTGAGGGAATGACCTTGATACTGAATAATATTTAGTAGCCTGGATACTAATTGTGCAGTCCTATATAGGCGCTGTTCGCTGGGAGGAATTTGGAGGAATCTGAATAAATCTGGAGAAAATCCGCGCACATCAAACTAATTAGTGTTTTTCATCCACGCATAATAAAATTCGACTGGTTTCTCAACTAACCGAACGAGCCCATAGTATTTCTATATTGTACCTGGGTACTGAATATTAATCGCTATCCGAGCCAACCCAACGCACTGCCCCGACCCGAGGCAACCCATCGGCTGGGCGCGGGCCTCGTGTTCCCGTTTTTTTTCTCTCTCGCACCCACCTCCTGTTTATTATATTCTTTTTTCCGTTCCAATATTCGTAGATCGTGGGAGGCGCCGGTTTCTTCTATCCGCTGCCGTCGCAAGAACCCAGATCGCCGCCGCCCTCGCCGCATGAGACTAGCTCTCCGCCGCACGAGCCCAGCTCGCCGCTACCCCCGCCCCCGCTTCATGAGCCTAGCTCGCCGCCGCCCCCGCCTCATGAGCCCAGCTCGCCGCCTCCTTCTAGCCTCGGTGGGTCGTGGGAGTCTACAGGGTTACTTCCGCCCACGTCGCTCGAGCTCTGCTCGCCGCCGCCGTCCTCCTGCTATCTTGCTTCGCCGCCACCGAGGGCTCTCCGGGCACCGTCTTCCCCCTCACCCCCTCAGCTCGCCGTCGCTACTGGCCGTGGCCGCGGTCTTGAAGGCCCAGCTGAGGGTCGACACGGACGGTTGCTGCCGGGTTCGGCATCAGCGAGCTCGCCGAACCTGGGGCGGACGTCCTACCCGTACCTCACCTCGCCTCCCCCTCGGGTCCAACCGGCACCGCCATGCTCCCCTCACCCCATCTGGTCACCGCCGCCGCCTGGATGTTCCCGAGGGTCATAGTCACTTAGCTAGCAGGATCCCGTGCTCGCCCGTGACTCAATCGGCAGCTCCCGTTGTGAATTCCCAGAGAAAGGAATGGCGACGCCGCCACCGCCGCTCCTGCGTGTGCTCCTCCAATACTGGTGGCAGATTCAGGCGTGCCTCCTCCAGATCCCCTTCTCTAGTTCCTCATTTGCACCATCTTCTCTTTCCCTTCCCCTTCATGATTCGATTTGATGATTGGAGTGCGGACCATCTTCTCTTCCCCTTCCCCTTCTTGATTCGATTTGATGATTGGAGTGCAGGATGTGTTCCCTGGAGCTTATCTTGGTCTGATGCGCGATTGTCAGCGCAGTCGGTGAGGAACCACCGTGGCCAGTTTGTCTCGGCTGTCAATGCTGGTTCTTATCTGTTGCAATGCAGCTTTCTATTACTCGTGGGGAAGGATTTGTTTCATCTTTTTGTTACTCGTGGGGGAAGGATTTGGTGCTGTAAATGTGACCAAAGGATTTGGTGCTATAAATGTGACCAAAGGATTTGGTGCTATAAATGTGACCAATACCAATTGTGGATGCACTATCCTGATTATTACTGTTCTCAAGAATATTAATGAGGAGTATTTGCAAACAAACATTTTTTTGTTTGTGTTTACAATTTAGAAAAATCAAGAGTAGTGATGATTAAATACTACACCAACCTTATTTCGGTATCATCAATTCATTAAGTACATAGCTACTTTATGTGACTGGGCAAAAGAAAGGTCAAACAATTTGTTTATTCTACATGGTAGATTGGCAAATTTCTTATGCATGCAAGAATCGCCATTTGGATCAGTTATTCTTATAATACGAGCAACTGTTTTTGTCCTGTACCTGTACTTGATCACCCCAACTCTGGTTCTGCCATACTAATCCTGTTGTACGATCTATGCGGACCAATTCCATAGCTAATCACTAAGTAGGTGCTATAAGTATTTTCTATCAAATTTATATGTGGAATTAGATTATTTGAAAATGATTGCGCAGGTTATCGTATCAAAGAGTGTGCTTGTCTCAAAGATAATTGGGAAGGCCATCTATGTTTTCTCACTGCTTGGGGCTGTTCTGGATTGCTATCTACTCCACTCTGTTATCATATGTGTTATCTGTGACCCTTGATTGTGCTGATTGTTCTGTGGTCGGTGACTCGGTGGCATTGAAGTTGGACCTCTCATAGCTGCAACATATAGGTACATCCAAATATTCATACTTTTCATTTATTCAATAGTTTGATACATCACCACTGCTGCATCTGCCTCTCTGCGTATTATGGTGTATAGCGGCAGTGTACAGAAGTATAGAAGAAAATACTTTCACTCAGCTTTTATCCATTTTGGTTGTGCAGGTGCTCTTCCTGTCCATGTAGTGGGTCCTTGGCTAGTTGGCTTCAATACTTGCACATTTCAGAAGGTGCAGAACACTTCCATACAGTTCTATGAGTTCAGCAAGCACGAGAGGATGGGTTAGTGCCTAGTTCTATTGTACGTATTTCTTCTCTTTTTACTGACTTAGGATTGTGATTGCACCATGCTAATTATATGCCATTTTTGAAAACAGATATCTCCTGTCTTATTTCAGAAACTTTTTGAAAACAGATATCTCCTGTCATCTTTTAGAAACATCTGAACCAGTGATAGCACCGACAACCATTCATCCCAGATGCCAACTAGAAGATCTAAGGTTTGGGATGGTTGAGGTTGGTGATGTCATGAAGGCAGTTTGCAAATATTGTCCAGAAAAGTTGACTACGAGCAAGAAATCAGGTACAAATAGCAACCGATATCACATCGCTGAATATTTCTCAAAAATCAGTACCAAAGATAGAAAAATGTTTCTTGCTACAGTGAAGATCACTAAACAGATGAATTAAGGTTGAGCAACAGCATCACCTTACTTTCCATCAAGAGAATGAGACTGTCAGAACATTTCAGTTTCTTTATTTTTACATGAAGTAGGTACTGCCCCGTGTGTTGCTACAGGCAACGAAACCATACTACACTATTTTTTTATGAGAAACCATACATAGTACAACTAAATAGAAAATGTTCATGATGTAAAAAATATAGCAATTGTTTGTTTCTCCGATTTCATAGCTAAAACTTAGTCTAAAGCTCATAGAAATCATACAATGTCAGATAAGTGGACCTTTTTAAATTTTATTTTACTACAATTTTAGGAACTCTTTGTAATTTTAATTTACTACAATATTTGAATCTCATTAGCTTGCACTATGGTTAAACAAGATAAAAGATCTGAGAGCAAAGGATCACAAAAACTATATACAATGAGCCATTGCTCAACTTAAGTTGCAATTCCTTCAAAAACTTGAGTAGAAATCAACAACTTGCATGCCAAATGTATTGTGTTAACAACTTGCATGTCAAATGTTCATTCAAATGCCTAGCAGATATTAACTTTTTCTATAGTTTTCTCATATGCATGTTTATGGCTTTATGCAATCTCACACATGCTACTAAGGCCTTATTAATAGTAGCACAGTAGCATGCTGCAAAAAGCATTGCACATATATACATTGCAAATATCAAAGAATGTTTCTTTTCTTTTTTAGACCTAGGAACCAAGCTAGTTTGTTTTAATCTTTGGCCTTGGCATCATGTATGAGTGTATAGTTAGACTGATGATTCCTGAATAGTTTAATTGCCGGAGAAACACTAAAATTTATCTCCTATGCGCCCACCCCATTAGGATGTTCATTGCAGGCATGGTGCTTCTAAGACCAGGATCTGAACCTGTCCTGCCCACCTATGCTAAAATTGATTTGTCTGACTGAAAATTGTAGTCTGAGAATTTTCAGATGATGTTGGTCTCATCCTTGTTCTGTTTATGCAGCCAGGAAAGAGTAGAAAGAGAGCAGTACCAGAGTGTTAGAACTGGTGTCCCTCCATCCCTTTATGGCTCTAAAGTTGAGTATTTTGTTCTTTCTCTGGGAAGCCATTTTATTGTAGATTATCAAGCTATCACTTCTATTTTGGTTCTCAAGTGTCCAAGTGTCACCAACTACATATGTTAGGCAAAACATATTAGCTGCAGATACTCCAATAAACAATTGATGGTTAACCAATTAGCTATCACCATAAATATTTATTTCTAGAAACAGACATTAGGATTGTTCCAGAAAACAGGTGGTCAAGAAATCCTAGCCTACTACGCGACAATAAAATATATTATTTAGAAACACATTCCATA